TCTCTTTAATTTCGTATTTTCTTGATCATAAATCATAGCTAGATTCTGTAGCAAAGGGAAAAGTGGAAAAAAACAGACTAACAGAGGACAAAGAAGATTCCACCTCCTGCTGCTTGAAAAAGTTGGACAATTTTCCCTATTAAGAAAAGCGTGTGCACTCATATGCGCATGCTTAAAAAATTTGAAAATGCCATGGATTTGGAGCTAATATATATATTTTAGTACGCGAGATAACAATTTTTTTCTTTTCGGTAGCCAGCATTGCCCCGACTAATCTGTTTGTTGACCCGAGTTCCACATTTGACAATGGTGAATGAGTCTCTCAACAGAAATTTTCTGCATTCACAAGTGTCGTGTAATTCTAAGGTCAGAAATGCTCACCTACTCACGGTGGACACATGTTTAATATGTCCACTGCTTATGTGGCATGCACTCATTGGTGATGTATTTTTTTGAACATATTAACATCACCAATATGTGCTTGCCACATAAACGGTAAACATATTAACATGTGCCCAATGTGAGTAGGAGAACATCATCCATTCTAAGCTACCATAATTCTTACCAACATACCATATAAATTAGCTATCAAGTTGGAGAACGTAAGAGAATTAGGCATAATCACTAGCCCATTTCCAAGCCCACACTATGTAGTCTAGTTCTTGTCCATCAACGTATACAAACTATGATAATCGGGCCCACAACCAATGTCCAGTTCCATTCCATTGGTCTCCTCTTTTTCAAAAGCTTAGAAAAAGCCCAATCCTATGGTTTGGCATGTTCTCATTGTTTTGTACATTCAATATCTCATTTTAGTGGGAGATGATACAGTCCCGTTATAGAACCATTCCGTCAGTATTTGTAACCGTTAAATCAACTATTTCGACAGAATGGTTTTGTAACGGGACCGTAACATTTCTCCATTTTAGTTAATCTTTTTATTTAATCATTTTTTTAAAAGGTATTTGTGTAAAATTAGTGCATTTTGAGAAGGGTTTGATTTTGTCAAGGAACAGGACATGTGCCAACACATGGCATGCCAATGGGCAATAGTTATAACTTGGAAATGAGGCCCAAACTAAATGCAATCTAGCTTTTGTTGTTTTCCCAACAAATAATCTGATGATATATATATAATTTGTGACGTAAATTGATTGAGTGAGGAATGTTGCTTTACGGTTTCAGACAACGTATAAAGGAAAAATGAATAAAAACAAACACTCTGTGACTCCCATACCTTAATAAGTCATTAAAAGTGATGTAGGGAAAGCGTACGAATGAGAAAGATAAAACGAGTAAACGAGATACTCTCTCGTAAAACTCACAAAACTCAATCAATTCTTATTATCAATTCACCACCGAATAACAAAGAAGAGATGTCTTTAAATAAGACACTCAAACCCTAAAATCTATCTAGACCAAAAAGTTTTGCTTTACTAGTCCTTTCCCAAATTATGTTGCCAATGAAACAATAAAGAAACTAACGTTCAGACGAATCTATATCAAACTTATTGAATATGAGTTCATAATAAAATAGAGGTCCGATTAGTCCCACAAATTTCACTGCACTGACCATAGTAAACTCCTTCTCGATCGTTGTACGAAATAAAGGTCCGATGAAAACCAGGTACAACATCACATTCGACACCTAAGGCTAAGGAAAGTAGTGATGAGAAGTGTTCATAACGTTCACTCGAGCTATAGCTCCCGCACTCGCTATGGAAGACTTTTTCCTTTGAAAAAGAAAGAAGGGTGCCTTCCCAGGCTCGTCTAAAACATGTACTAGAACAAACCATTCGCTACGAACTGGCATTCGATCCAAAGCTGAAGAAGGTTCAAGCTTACTCCTATGCCATTTTTTGTGCATCTTTCACTGGTGCCTTGAGTGATAAGGTCATAATCAATGCGAAAGAAGGTTATATAATATACGCTCAACGTTAAGGAGAGGAAGGTGGGCACGAGGTCATGACGTTAAAGAGAGAAAATAAAGCATCGAGAAATGAGTCAAATCTTGAAGAATAAGCCTCAGTATTGACTGTCTCGTATCACTTGAATCGGCAAACAAGCTAACCAAGTTCATTATGAGTATCGATTCATTACGACTAGGCGGATGCAAGATGTCTTCGCACAGTATTTAATTGTAGAGGGGTCGTTTGCATAGTCAACTCTTAAGAGAATCGTATGGAAATCCTTCTATTCACATGAACTCAATACTAATAATAGAGGATGCCTAAGCAACAAAAGGGCTAGATCTTTCTCTTATGCTATCAAAAATCACACGCATGCTCTCATGTATCTCCTCTTCAAATCACGTATTTGGTCTCTTTTTTTCTATCTTTTTTTTTATCTGGCAGATATTCTGTCATGGTTAAATTTCCAAGTCTCCTATCGAAGTAACTTCTTCATCATCCTCTTTTCAGCATGGTATACAAGAACACATTCTCTCGAGTAAGGAACTTTACACGAATCGTGAATCTTTGAGCTATTGAGACTGTTCGAATCGATGATCATCAGTATTTCCTAACTTCTACAATTCGATTACCTTGTAGAGTGCTATATATGTTGCCCTTTATTTGGGTTCACTCTCTTGCTTACCTGACTTTGTCCTTCCAACATGATTGTCATCTCCTTCAAACTTTTACTATCATAGCCACATGTTTCTGGTTTCAAGATCCAATATGTTCTTCACACTCCCTTTTTAGCCTAATCACTGGATTTGTGGGGACACTTGGATGTAATGACCATATAGATCGTAACAGTTTCTTGATCGTGCATATGAAACATCGAATGTTGTGCGACGAGAAATTCAGAACGATGATGATATATGCACATCAAATGTTGTGTGATGACAACAAATTCAGAACAATGATTGCGAATGTGACGGGAACATGGCTAGGATTAATATTTCTTAAACCACCCCAAGCAAGGCTGCAGAATACCACAATTTTCATACCAATATGAAAAAAAGCAATAAGTAAACCAATAAAAAGTGAAGCAAAACAACCACCATTAGCAAATCAGACAAAAACAAAACCCAGCATCAAAGAAAACCTACCAAACAAGTTCCAAAACTAGAAAAAGATAATATTCATATTATGATTTGACAAGTTTAACATGACTACTATACGCAAAACCACAAAATTGGATCCCAAAAAACTCAGTCATCTTTTTTCAGCAGCATATTCAAAGTAAAGAAAGCTAAAACAGAAAACAAAACAAATTTCAGATAATTCTCAGAGCACCACATTGGAGTAGATTATATACCAAAAAAATCAGGACCAAGCTGCTTTCACAGCTTGTCCTCGTACTCAGACAGCGGGGTTATTGCCGCCTTCAAACCTTTTCTTTTTCTGATCTCTTCAACAAGAGTCGCAGCCTGAGAACCAGCTTCCAACGGGTCGGGCCTCATCATGTCCCAGTGATCAAACACGCACTGCGGGAAAGCCTGCCCCGAAGTTGCAGCCCTCAGATTACTCGATAACCCGAAAGACTCGATAACAGGCAGGTACGCCTTGATGTTGTACATAGGTGTGCCAGGCCTCTGCATTTCCTCAAACACATGCCCCCTCCTTTGATTCAGCACACTGTAGATACCACCAAGGGCCCCCTCCGGAGCCTGGATCTCGACCAAGTAGACAGGCTCCAATAGACGAGGCTTGGCAGTTAGGTGGGAGGCATAAACGACCCTCCTAGCAGTCGGGATAACCTGGCCACCACCCCTATGAATAGCATCAGCATGAAGAACGACATCACAAACCTCAAAACAGACGCCCCTCATGTTCTCCTCGGCCAACGGGCCTTCCTTGGAGGCCCACTGAAAACCAGCAACCACAGAGTCCTTGATTTCGTTCAGGTACTGCACTCCCTTACACATGTCCACAACCATGTTCGGGCCCATGGTCTCGGGCCCAAAGCACCAGATCTTCTTAGTGAGCTCCTTGTCCCAGCCAAACTCCTCGGACAGGATTTTGGACCGGATCTTCGGGTCGTCCCTTGGGCCGATACGGCCCTCGTCAATGGCCTCGGCCAGACCTTCCTCCAGCGGCCGGGCTTCCATGTAAAGACGGTTGTGCTTGTTGGGGGATTTGCTCATGACCGTGCGGCAGGACCTCTCGAGGACAGTTTCACGGAAAGAAACAATAGGGTCGGATTTTAAGATCTCAGCCCCACCCATGAAATCTTCCTGCAAATCCTTCAGGCAGATATCGAGATGCAACTCGCCAGCACCAGCAACAATATGCTCACCAGACTCTTCCACAGTACAGACAACCATAGGATCAGACTTGGCTAGACGTTTCAGACCTTCAACAAGCTTAGGAAGGTCAGATGCCACCTTACACTGGACAGCAACACGCACGACAGGCGAGACAGAGAACTTCATGGCCCTGATAGGGTGGGCATCAACTTCCTTCTCGTTAGTGAGGGTGGCGTTTTTGGTGATGAACTGGTCGAGCCCACCCATAGCAACTGTGTTACCACAGGGAACGTCCTCAACTGTTTCCTGCTTCTTTCCCATCCAGATAACAGTTCTCTGAACACTCTTGACGTACAGGTCTTTCTTCTCGCCCGGGACGTAGTTGGGGCCCATGATTCTGACCTTCAGGCCGGCCGACACTCTACCGGAAAACACACGACCGAAGGCGAAAAACCTTCCCTTGTCAGCGCCTGGAATCATTTTCGACACATAGAGCATGAGAGGCCCGTCAGGATCACAGTTCCTGATGGCATTGGCATAAGCATCGTCAAGAGGGCCCTCGTACAAGTTCTCTACACGGTACTTCTGGGCAGTGGCAGGGGATGGGAGGTGGAATATCATCATCTCTAGTAGGGCGCTGCTGGCAGGCAGCCAAGTCTGCATGACACGCTTCATCAGTGCCTTGCCCATCAGCTCCTTCTCATCAGACTTCATGTTGACACCGAGCTTCTGCAGCATGGGCCATAGCTTGTCCTTCTGGTCGTTCATACATGTGTTGATGATCTGCTTGATGGGCTCATAACAAAACTGGACAAAACCACGCTTACAGGTGGGGGAACCAGTGTTCTTGTTGGTCCACTTCTTGGTTGCTGGGTCAAAAAAATTCTCTCCCCAGAGCCTCTGCATCATTTTGGCCTCATCAACACCGAACTTTGAAGCATACATCTTAGCAAAGTTGGTCAGAGTAAAAGCCCAGCCGTGCAGACCAGCAGAGAAAGCAACGGTACCTTTCTCAGGATAAACCATCACATCCCCGAGGAGGGGATCCTCATAAGTGGCCATGATCACATTAGCATTCTCGATAACCCTCTGGAAAGTCTGGTAGGCCTCCTCACCGTCGACTTGGAGTTCGAGGAAACACCTATCCATCTTATTAACAGTCAGGACAGGGCGAATCCTTTCACCAAGAGCCTGCCTGAGAACAGTCTCAGTCTGAACACACACTCCTTCAATGCAGTCCACCACAACAAGAGCACCATCGGTAATACGAAGGGCAGCTGTCACCTCGGAAGAGAAATCGACATGCCCGGGAGAGTCGATGAGATTGATGAGGTACTCGTTGCCATTTCTCTCTCCCTTGTAGCTCTTCAGGGAATCATCGCTCATCTCATAGAACAAAGAGATACCGGTAGACTTGATGGTGATACCACGTTCAGCTTCATCAGCGCGCGTATCTGTCGATCTAACGTCACCAGCAACCTCTGTGGCAATAATGCCAGCAGCAGCAACAAGTGAATCAGTGAGGGTGGATTTTCCTGAAACAATATTGGAAACATTGTTCATTCAGTGGTTCAAGAAAAGGAAGCCTTCTCATATAGTTTATTCAAGAAAACGCGTAAAACACACCAACCCATAGATACTATATAACACACAATTTCACAGCCTCCTCACCATGATCGACATGAGCAATGACGGACATATTACGGATATTATGCTTGTAGTCCATATTTTTACGGAGCTTGTCCGCTGTGAACTTCACCTGCAGATATTAAATGGGAGTACTGAGTTAAATAGCCGGCAACATATTTCAATGATAGCATAGAACAAGTGTGTCAGTGAACTTACCATTTTTGCTAGTTCTTATGTTTCACGTAAGCCAAAGAGGTTCTACTCCAAATATTACCTGCAGATATGACAACATATGAGCACTATTAACATAATCAGACAAGAAATTTTGAAGATAGACAAAATACAACTTAAAAGCTTGTGAGAAAGAGCAAAACCATGTACAAAATCCAAAAACTAACACGTGAACGAGGATCGTAAACAATGAAACTGTAAGAACTTAATCGGATCAACTGCACGAAGAAGATGATAAAATATCGCAGCTATAATTGCATCAGAAACAGAAAAGTCGAAATCAATATACCAAAGCTTTCAGAACAAATTCATAACCATCTATCTGCTGATGCAGACAAACTAATCAAACACAGGATTAAACGCAACCAAAGGTCGCCCGAAAATATAGAAATTTTCTACAACTATGGCGACGCCGAAGAGAGAGAGAGAGAGATAAAGAGAGAGAGAGAGAGAGAGAGATAAAGAGAGAGCGAGATAAAGAGAGAGCGAGAGAGAGAGCGAGCGAGAGAGAGAGAGAGAGAGAGAGAGAGAGAGAGAGAGAGAGAGAGTACGCACCTCAGAAAAGAGAAGGTCCGGCTGCTGAGAGCCTGAGAGAATGAGAGCCCCGTAGTAGTAACACCGCAAATATATAAAGCGAATTGTATTTGAATGCATCAAACCCTGGATTTTAAAGAATTCCCATCCTTGCTGAGCACGGCTAGAGAAAAAAAAATTGCAATCCAGTCCTCCTAAATTTTTAAAACTTGTATTTTCAATTTATATTTTAAATTAGAAATTCTCAAGCCGTTGTTAGCACGGCAGGACCAGTAACAGAAAGTCATTAAGTTAAAATATTAAATTCTCGTGCCACATCATCAACGTCTCAGCCTACCTTGTAAGGATTTATTTTCAAACAAATCATGTGGTGTGTCATAAAAGAACTAGTACAGATCCCGTGCGATGCACGGGGTGCACAAAACTAAAGTCATTTATCAAGTCTTATAATTATATAAATGAATAAAGAAAAATGTAGGGGATATATATAGTACGTGACCTGTAATAGGCCAAAATAGGCCAAAATGTAAACACATGTGATGCACGAGTTGCACAATTTTAAGGTCATTTATTAGTACAGAGTCCGTGCGATGCACGAGTTGCACAATTTTCTAGTATGTGTAATACAAATACATACCGTATGCACGGGACAGAAGCCCTAAATGAGTTATTTCCACAGAGCTTGCCCGTTAAATAGCTCCTGAACACGGGTGCACAATTTGTAATACGTACTATAAAATCAGAATAGATTTTCATACAATTAGATAATAAATTAAATAATAAATAAAGCCTTTTTTATTTTAGTAAAGATTTTACGTACTTTTTTTACTTATCGGATGTTATGGGATTTTTTTGTTAAACCGATTTTATGGGATATAATACAAATACAATTAGAGGATTGAATAAAATCAGAACAGATTTCTATACAATTAGATAATAAGAAGGAATTAGATAAGGAAAAGAATAAATTAGATAAAGAATTTTGAATCTACCTTTTTTTTAGTATACATAGACTTTACGTACAAATTTTGACTTCACCGATTTTATGATATTTGTTTTGACAAAATCAAAGACGAACACTGAAGACTGTTTCTATTAATATTTACAATGTGTATTTAATTTTTTTGGCAAAATATTCTTTTTAAGTGTGATATATAAATATTAAAAATACTTAAAATATTTTATAACATCTATAAAAGCATCTAAAATATTTTATATTATTCACAAATAATGTTTGAAGCTACCTAAATTTTTCTAAACTACCCGTAAAAAAAATATGCCTAAAAATTCTTCATTTAACCTCCATATATGTATATGTATATATATAGAGAACAAATGTGTAAAAAAATTTATACAAATAATATTTAAAAGTATCTAAAATATTAGTAATTAGACAGGTGAAATTTAGATTTTTAAAAAATCTATATAGATAATATATTTATAGTAGTAATTAGACTTTTATTTATTTACCTTTAAAGTGTTACGATAGATTTTTGACTCGTGAAGATGAATTTTATAAGTTGGGTTATGAAATTTTCTTAAACTCGTCCGGTTTTAAGCTGGGTATATAGATTGAAAATTGTAAAAAAAAAAATCATAAATCATTTGATTTGGTATTTTTGGAGAGCTTCATTAATTTAAAAGTGTAAAATAAATAAATAAAAAAAGTACAACTGAAAAAAGGTACAACCAATTAATTTTGTAAGATGCATTAAATATTGATTAGATTTTATATGTAAAATAAAATAAAAAATAACTGAAATAGTTTTACATGTTGCAATATTTTATATTTAAAAAAAAATCAAAAAATCTTATTTTACGTATTGCATACCAGCATTTTAGGAACTACATGGATATTCCTAAATTAATATTGCATACCCAATATTTTAGGTACTAATTAAATGCTAATTTGATTTCCATACCAAAATATTTGATGCATTAATTAAATGCTTGATAAAAATAGCAAATTATTAATTAGGATTGACTATTCTACATACTACATTTAGTAAATAGTATAGCTTTTAATATAAGTATAGATGATATTTTTTGCATTTTTCGTCTACCTTTCTTTAACGTACATTTTTTATTGTAGCAATATTTATTCCACTCATCCAACATAGCATGTGGAGACAAGGATACCCTTCAAACCCAAATTGTTTGTAGTTGCAAGTTACAAAATCCTTTGAGATATCATATGTCAAGACACGTCGACGTTGGGCAGTTAATTCAACTAGTTTTTAACCCGTGCATTTGCACGGAAAGCTATATGATAAAGGAAAAATAAAAAAGAAAAAAATAGTAAAAATAATAACATTGTCATTGATAACTCGGGTTCAACAACAAAAATCTAAATCTAAATTTAAATATTATTAAACACTTCTTTATATACAACGTTCGTGGTTTTCCTATCGTCAAAATCTCAAATAAGTCCTTCCCTTAGATGAGTTCATCGAGCTCATGTACTCGTTAACAGCCTCAAACACATCAAGTGTGGGAGCGAGTATGGCTCTGTCCTTCAGGTAGATAAGATCGTCACCTGCACTCCTAAACATCGGGTAGGTACTCTCAACAATAGTACCAATATAATCCCCTTGTGAGTGTAGAAGAATATCATCGGGGATGTCGATATCGGCACAACCGTCGTTCGATCCACCGACTGTACCATCGCTGATGTTTGCAAGCCACTCAGAGAAGCGCCTCAACTCATTGTACTCATCACCCCCACCAAGGCTTCGAAGCCTCATATTCCGAGTCAGTCTCCGAACGATACAATCGCGCCACAACTTGGATGAATTGATGGTGGCGTTGACTATGTCGCTCCGACTGCCTTTAGGGACAACGGGCAGTATCTGTCTGAAATCCCCACCTAACAAAACACACTTGCCGCCAAATTAGAAAATATAATCATACCGGTTTTTTGAACGATAGAACACACATTAGTAGGGGCTATTGTTGTTTGGAACGAAGGTGTTACCGTAGACAAATTCGATAATGAACCTGCAATAATTAAATAAATATAGTTGAATTTAAGTTATAACAGCTATAAATTTAATTATGTCAAACCAAGGAAATAAATAGCTCGCTAAAGTTGCCGCTATTTGAGAAATAGCTTTTTTTGGTAGCGTGCCGCTATTTGTATTCATGTGCAATTTGGCCGCTAAATCCCGCTAAATCTCCGCTATAGCTCCGCTATAGCTACAGTGCCATAAACGTTTTAGCCCGCTATTTAAAACCTTGTGTCAAACTTAATATTATATAAATTTGTGCAATAATAAACTTGAACAAACAATAAGACAAAATATTTGAAGTTTATAATATAAGAGTTTTGTATAGATATATACATGTAATATTTGTACTTGTTTAGATGAAAAAAATTTAGTACTACAACTTAGATTTTGAGTCAATATTTGTAATAATTATATGTGTAATAATTTATGGCCCAATAATGTTGTTGGAGAACATCTGGGCCATCATTATCATATTGCCAAGTATCTGGGGCTCTTATAAATTTAAATAAATGAGCCCAATGGATCAAAACAAAAATAGCTACACATAAATGAGCCCAACGTTTAAAAAAAATGTTCATCACAAGCTTAAATGCCGACACGCGTACCATTAATGCCCTACGCGTCTGGACAACTCATTTAAATAGAGAAAACCCTAACGATGGCATCGTTTTCGCCATTTTTCTCGCCTCTCTCTCATTTCTTACGCCGATTCTCTCTCTAATTTATCTCTCTACTACAAAAGTTCTACCAGTTTTCGCCGGTAATTTCGCCAAAATCGATGTTTTACCGGCGATTCATCACTGTTTTTCGAGCGGATACCGAAAAATACATGAGACGTGATTGTTTCAAATGAAAAGGGAGACGAAAAAAATGAAATCGCCCCGATTTTACAAAACCGATTTACTACTTCATAGTATCTCTGTACAAATCGGGCGATAACATATATAGATCTTTGCAGATCTAGATTTTTTTTGTAATTTTTTTATTTTTGAAATTTTTTTTTCTTATAATCGTGATTTCATAATAGATATGTATAGATCTATAGTGTTTTCAGTTGATTACATTATATATCTTGGTATATCTACAAATTTTATATTTTTATAGTTTTTTTAAAATTTTTCATTCGATTAAAATCGTAAACAGATGTTAGATCTGTAAATATATCCATGTTTTTTTTGGTTTTATTTAATTTTTATAATTAATATTAATATTTATATTATCATATTCCGGTTTGGGGTTACATTCTGACGGACGGGTATCAACCGTACTGTGATCTTAAGCGGTCGATTAAGACCCTCTTGTTATAATAAATCAAAGTCGGATTAACCTTTTTGCTTATGTTTAAAATTTTGAGCATTATTGTCCGGATTAAAGTATTTTTCATTCTTGATGTTTCATTTAATGTGATATCGGTGACTGATACCGAGTTCTATATATTTTTTTGAA